TGGGGGGTGGGGTGGGGTAATGTGGTTGGTGCTAATAAAAAAGAAAAAACAAAGAATTTAAGCAATGAAAACAAAATTAGTGGTCGTGTATTAAGATGGTTTTGCCACAATCATTCATGTGCTTCCAAGTATGTCTACTCGGATAATAACTTTAAACCAGCTTGTTCACAGATAATGTTTGAATTCAACAGGTTGAAATTGCATTCATGTGCACCATTTGATGCTGACATGTTTGACACACTGTTTTCCAGTATTTTAGCTACAGCTCCAGGTTTTCAGATACTTATTCCCTGGTCTACTGATGAATGGCTTCTTAGATAAAACAGTATTCATCAAGCAAAATGCTCGTAGGATAAATATCCAAATCTGGTAGACATATGATTCTGTCATTTCTTAATGTTGTATTGTAATTGGCTAAGCATGACCGGAGAAAATAAAACTGCAGGAGTATATTATAGCTGAATGCTGTCATGCTGATCTATGATTTCAAGTAGCAAAGCAGTTAGCATGACTTCCAGAATAACCATATAATAACTAAAAGAATAATAACCAAATATCAACATGCTATTGCAAATGAGATCGTTACAAATACCCTGAATGTGATGCCTAAAGAAAGACAGCCTATTCTTTTGATTTACAAAAAGCATTCTGAACTCTGCTAGTTTCAGATGAATCCATTGACCAATCCCGAAAAGAGAAAAAGAACAAGTAAATATAGAAACACAATCTAATTAGTACTTCAAAATCAATAAAATATGAGATTGCAACATTTAAGTCTTGAATTCACATTCAGACACACAGTATGTTGGCAAAATAGCTGATGGAGAAACTAGAAATGCTTTTCTTGGTAACAAAATGGAAGGTTAATTAGCACTTCAGACTTGTTCACTAGCTTTAAATAGATTTGTGGGGAACAACCCATTTAAAGGTCTCCCATTGTCTTTTTCCAAAGGAAGACATATCTCTAAAACTCCCCGACACATTGAATCCGACATTATCCTTAGTTTCTAAGACTTCTTCAATTTACTTCATTGGATATTTACCATTTGACTTAGTACATCACAAATATTTCAAGTCATATAGCACCCAATTGTGTTTCCTTGTACATAGTGCATTGTTCTGGAGTATCACACGCATGTACAGAATACAAAACAAAAAAAACAGAAAATACAGAAACGGCCAGTACATCATATGAAAAATATATCCACAAAAATATAAAGTGGCAGAGAGGAATTTGATAGCTGCCATGAGCTTATGAGATGTTAAACAAACCTGAACCACTGAGACCTGTAATCCATATAACACAACCCCTTTGCTGAAGCAACTCCTCTCTGTCACTTTTCTCTACAGAACATTTGTGCCAAACAATGTTCGTTGAATTCCCGTTTGTAGAAATCCGAGGTATACTTTTACCTAGTTAAATCATCCATTACATCAGTAACTGCAACTTTTTTGACACCAAAACTACCTTCACTCAAATCGTTGTCTCATTCAGGTAACCAAGGAAAAATTTATGTCCAAACAATCCAGGAAAATCAGATGTAAACAACTTCTAATGCTTTTACAGGACACAACAGGAAATAGCAATAAGGCAGGAATAATTTAACAGTTGTTCCATAGAAAGACAGATTCAAGATTTAAAGCCAGCACGCGAGTGCTAATTGCATCAACTACTTTTTCATGATAACGGGCTCAGATTTCAGATCATAGTTAAGTATACATTGTTAAATTTTCTTCTTCAACATGCATTGTTAATTTTCTTTTAGCTATATATAGTTTGTCGAAAATCGTGCCCTATGCTGAAAAGCTACAAACAAAAGCGAAATATAAATACCAGAAAAGCCAGGACAATCATTTGCAGTCACTTGATCGTTTGAATTGTATCCTGGCTGATGAACATTTTCGGCTTTTCCATTGATATGAGAAGTTCTAGAAGCCTCCATTGCCCTTAAAGGCGGTAAGCCCAATAACTTAGCTTTGCAAAAATTACATGCCCGAAGCTTTAGAACTCCTAACTTTTCAGACGAGGTGTCAGCACCATCAAATTTTGACGGAGTACGATAAAACAACGAACCATTTCCGATGGCACTCGTCATTGAAACATCTAAAATTCAACCAATATGCCTTTGAATTATTATACAAGATGTACAAATAATGCAAAAGAAAAAAAGAATAATCGATTGAATAGGAGAAAAATGTTATTACTATCAATTAGAAGACAGAGAGAAATGACGGTTTTATGACGAACAATTGAATTGATTTTGTATGTACAAAAGGGAAGGAGATTTAAGAAAAGAAAAATGGAAGTTGATGACGGTGTTTGAGTTTTTGGTGGTGGAGGGAGGAGGTAGGTGGAGATGAGATGGCATATAATATATAGCATATACATGTCGTGAACACGACAAAGAGGAATTGCTGGCAGGATAGAATCCTCTCTCAGATATACTAATGAAGTGCGGAACTGAGCTCATATGCCACGCTCCGTTGTTGGAGTTTTTTTTTTTTTTTTTTTTCGTTTTGAATAATTAACCTAAACTACCATACATTCAATCACCTAAATTAAAAATAATCTCTTCTCCCCCCCATATATATATATATATATTGGGCTATCTCCGAGTCCGGGCGACTCGAGGTAGAGGTCAGACCCGGTTGGAGGATACACGCCTCGAGGAAGCAGATCGAAGACTTGGCGCGACCTACATCGAGGACAGTGCGATCTCGAGGGCACTCAAGAAAGAGCGGGAATTTCTCAAGGATACGTGGGTCAGGGCATAAATTAAAGGTTAAGATTTGTACAAAATGGTACAAGTCTGTACTAGGTTATTATACACATGTACCAATAGAATTCTTGACTATAATTAGGAATGTACTATGTTAGGATTTTCTCCTCCTATATAAAGGGGACCTCAACCATTTTGTAAAGAACATCTCACATTATTCACTGCAATAGAACATTCCATTCTGCTTTTCTTGCTTAACGTGCTCAACATTTGTTCTTCAGTTTTATTATCTTTACTTTATTGTCCATACTTGTCACGACCCCGGTTCGCCCTCCGTGAACCATCGTGATGGCACCTAAAATGTGCCACCCAGCATACACCATATTTAACTCTCAATATCAAAACATAAATCCAAGACCCGGAAACCCACGAATCACAAGCTAAGAAGTACGACATAGCTCTAACTCCGGAATGTCTAAATAGAACAGAAAAATATAGAAGGGCTAAATACTAAAAAGCAGGAATAGAAAGGGACTTCTCGGTCTGCGGACGTGGCAGATGTACCTCGAAGTCTCTAGAGCAGTCGCCTCCTCAAGGATGATAGGCCTGAGTAGCGGTACCTGGATATGCACATGAAAAACATGCGCAGAAGGGGCATGAGTACACCACAACGGTAATCAGTAAGTGCCAAGCCTAACCTCAGTTGGGTAGTGACGAGGAAGGTCGGGGCCCTACTGAGATTAAATAAGTATAAAGATGACAGGATAAAATAAGCAGTACAATTGAGAATCTACAGTAAGAATCTATACAGGAAAATAAGAGTACAATAACGGAAACAGAGATGAAGGCAAAGCACATGGAAGTACCACTCATAACAAGGATGATAACCGGGGATCTCTTGGTATCCCGAGGATCTCTTGGTATCCTCAATATATGCTAGGGATCTCTCGGTATCCCGAGGATCTCTTGGTATCCTCAATATATGTTCCAGGGGTCTCTTGGTATCCCACACCTCAGTTCAGATCATAAATATGTACAGGGGATCTCCCGGGATACCGTCCCGTAGTCCCAAAGTAAAAACACACAACAACACAAGAATACCCAATTAAGCTAAATTTCATACCAAGTAAACGGTTAATTCTAGCCTAACATGCTTCACGTAATGCAATTAAGGCAGTTTAAGCAAATAGACAATTACGCCAACTAAACATGCTTTTCTAAACTAGCAACAGGCTAAATTCACAAGTAGAATAAAACAGGAAAAAGAACTCAATTGAAATACTTAAGGAAAAATCGGATTTTCAATAATTAGCTCAAGTACGCGCTCGTCACCTCACGTACAAGGCATTTCAATTATCAAATATATCATATCCTACGGGGAAGGTCCCTCACACAAGGTTAGACAAGCGACTTACCTCGAACCGGCTCAAAATCAACCCGAAACCACGCTCTTTCCACGAGTACTCGACTCCAAATGGCCCAAATCTATTCAATTCAATTGCATAATGTAAATAACACTTCAAGTAACCGATTCTACAATTAAATCCTAAGCTAATGCAAAATTTTGTAAAATGACCAAAACGCCCCTCGGGCCCAAGTCTCGGAATCGGGTAAATTTATATTTCCAGAACCCTCGCACTCTCACGAGTTCAGTGACCTCAATTTGTCCCTCAAATCATCACTCAAAGGTCTCTAATTAGACAACCCTAACCCCCAAATTACCTCTGATTTTCCTAAATTTTTCATGCTTAGATTGATAAAAATCATTCCAATAACGAGTTTAGAGACCAAAGACCTTACCCCAATGAACTCCTCTGAGAATCTCTCTTGAAAAGTGCTCCCCAAGCTTTTTCCCGTTTTGAAAAAAAAGATGAAAAAAGAATTTTCGCGAAGGCAAGAATTTATATGTTCTGCCCAGCGATTTCCGCATTTGCGGGCCCTGATGCGGTCCCGCTTCTGCAGAACTAACATCGCATCTACGACCTTTCGCTTAATGGCCAATTTTCGCATCTGCGATTCCCAATCCGCAGATGCGGTACCGCTTCTGCGGAATTACCACCGCTTCTGCGGTTCTTGAAGAAGTCCCCAATTTCCGCTTCTACGACCATTGAGCCGCTTCTGCGGCGTCGCACCTGCGGAACCCAAACCGCATGTGCGGTTATGACAGAACCAGCAGCTGAAGCTGCAACTTAAATTCCAAAATCTTTTCGTCAACCATCGGAATTCATCCCGAGACCTCCAGGACCTCAACCAAAGGCACAAACAAGTCACAAACAACTATCCAAACTTGTACCAATCCTTAGAACACCTAAAACAACATCGAAACCTCGAATTAACCATGGATTCAAGCGTAAGTACTCCAAAATCCTCAAAATACTCTTTCGATCAAAAAGTCTATCAAACCTCGTCCGAATGACCTGAAATTTTGTACACACGTCAAATTCAACACTACAGATCCACTCCAACTTCCGGAGTTTTATTCCGACCCTCATATCAAAATCTCACTATCAGACCGGAAACTCCAAAAATTCAACTTTCAGCATTTCAAGCCTAAGTTAACTACGGACCTCCAAAACACAATCCGATCACGCCCCTAAGCCCGAAATCACCCAACGGAGCTAACAGAACCATCAGATTCCCATTCCGAGGTCGTCTTTACACTATTCCGACTACGATCAACTTTCCAATACTTAAGCTCTCATTTAGGGACTAAGTGTCCCAAAACTCTCCGAAACTCAAAATCGAACATCCCGGTAAATCAAAATAGCAGAATTAAACTTGGGAAAAGCAGTTAATAGGAGATCGAGGCGTAAATTTTTAAGACGATCGGCCGGGTCGTCAGAATACTTTATTGTGCCTAGCTGACCTCGAGGTCCCTGGGATAATCAAGCTCGAGGCCCCTATTGCTTCAACAACATTGATTTGGTTCATCAAATCTTCTTACTTAAGCTTAATACTACTTGTATAATCACTAACATTAGAATATATCACGTATCTTTAAAACCACAAATTACCTTTAATTGTTACTCACATTTTTCGAGGTAAATAGTTTGGCGCCCACCGTGAGGCTAAAGATAATAGTGATTATTTTAGTGCTAGTTTTCTGATAACACACGTTATTCTTCACACTTTTTCTTGTCAAAGATTTTTTGATTTCAGGCCAAAATATGTCTAGCACACAAAACACACCTGCTCATGACAGTGAGGGACTCGGAGAAACAGTGGTATAGGGGTTGGTGTACCACCCATAAACCCTGAGGGAGCACCAAATGTGGAACCAGTTGATATCAGTTCGCACAACGCTCTAAAAACTGATGCAAGCATAGACCCCGTAAGGAATGCACACAGGGAAGCCCGAGCAGGAGTCTAGGAAACACGAGGGATGGAAGAAGGATGAGTCAGCCTCCAAGTGATATTCGAGATGCTGCAAGCTCAAGAAATCGCCATCGTTCACTTCATAGTCAGAACAAAACTCCTAACACCGCCGAACCAGTAGACGCCCGGCACGAGCCAGCGCTAGGAAGGCCCGATGAAAGCGGCCCCCGAGGACTGACCCCACAATCATAAAAATGCTCGAGGAACTGACTAAAAGAATCGAGTTAGGAGAAAGAAGATAGAAGGCAACGATAAGAAGGTAGAAACTTATAACTCCCAGGTAGACCAAATACCGGGAGCACCTCCAGTTTTGAGAGGTCTAGATGCCAAAAAATTCATACAAACGATGCCAAAAAATTCATACAAAAACCTTTCCCCTCAAGGGAAACTCCGATGTCCATTCCCAAGAAATTTCGCATGCCCGATATACCAAAATACAATGGAACAACTGACCCTAACGAACATATTACTTAATATACTTGTGGAATAAAAGGAAATGACTTGAATAACGATGAAATCGAGTCGGTGTTATTGAAAAAGTTTGGGGAAACATTATCAAAAGGAGCCATGGTATGGTATTACAATATAGATCCTAACTCAATAGATTCATTTGCTATGTTGGCGGACGCCTTCCTAAAAGCACATGCTGGGGCTATAAAGGCGGTCACAAGAAAATCGGACGTCTTCAAAATAAAACAAAGGGATGGCGAGATGCTAAGAGAGTTCGTGTCCCGGTTTCAGATGGAAAGGATGGAATTACCACCTGTCTCTGATGACTGGGCAGTTCAGGCCTTTATGCAAGGTTTGAATGAAAGAAGCTCGATTGCATCTCGATAGCTGAAGCGGAACTTGATTAAATATCCAGTTGTGACATGGTTGGATGTGCACAATCATTATCAGCAAAAAAATTAGGGTATAGGATGACTAGTAATCATCCTAATAGATTTGCAGCCAAGCCCCTGAGGGACATAAACTGGGGATTAAGATTCAACAAAGAATGGTATCAACCATATGCCGATCGAAGGAACAATGGCCCGAGTCACAACACCTCTCGGAGCAATCGAAAAAGTGACCGGGGACAAGGTTCACAAGGGCTCATGATCAAGAACGAGTTCGATAAGCACGCCGACCCTGCCGAGGTCCCCCGATTATCAGAATACAACTTCAACATAGATGCATCAGGGATCGTCTCAGCTATTGGGAGAAACAAAGATACTAAGTGGCCCAAGGAATACAGACCGATACCTTCCAAAGGAACCCGAACTTAATGTGCAAGTATCATGGCACGCATGGTCATAGAACGGAGGATTGCAGGCAGCTAA